TCCTCTTTTCCTATTTGGATACCCCTGATTGCCTTCTCTTCTCTGATTGCTCTAGCCAGGACTTCCAATACTATATTGAACTGGAGGGGTGAGAGTGGGCATCCTTGTCTTGTTCCAGTTTTCAGGGGAAATGGTTCCAATTTTTGTCCATTTAGGAGTATGCTGGCTGTGGGTTTCACGTAGATGGATTTTACTATTTTGAGGTATGTATGCCTAGATGTTCGAGGGTTTTTAATAAGAAGTGGTGCTGGATTTTATCAAAAGCTTTTTCTGCATCATTTGGTTTTTGTTTTGACATCTGTTGATGTATTTAATTACATTTACGGTTTAACGAATGTTGAACCAACCTTGCATCCCAGGAATGAAGCTTACTTGGTCATGATGAATGATTTTTGAGATGTGTTGTTGAATCTGGTTTGCTAGGATCTTGTTGAGAATTTTAGCATCTATGTTCATTCAAGATATTGGCCTGTAGTTCTCTTTCTTTGCTGTGTCTTTACCTGGCTTGGGTATCAGTATGATGTCAGCTTCGTAAAATGATTTGGGGAGAGTTTCATCTTTCTCAATCGCCTGGAATACCTTCAGTAGGATTGGTATTAGCTCCTCTTTAAATGTCTTGTAGAATTCTGCTGGAAAGCCATCTGGTCCAGGGCTTTTTTATGTAGGTAGTTTTCTTATTATGTAGTCAATTTCCTTGATTGTTATTGGTCTATTTAGGGTCTCGATATCTTCTTGTTTCAATCTAGGCATGTTGTGTGATGACAGAAAGTCCTCCATTTCCTTAAGGTTTTCAAGTTTGTTTCCATACATGTGTACATAGTAGTCTCTAATGATCTTCTGTATTTCTTCAGGATCAGATGAAACTTCATCTTTTGTGATTCTGATTGTGTTTACTTGGGCTTTTCTCTCTTTTTCTTGGTCAGTCTAGCTACGGGGCCATCAATCTTGTTTATCCTTTCAAAGAACCAGCTTTTTGTTTCATTGATTTTTTTTTTGTATTATCTTTT